TTTCAATCCCATTTACATCTTATTGACTATTTGCTATTGACTATTGGTCACCGACCACGACCACGACCACGACTAACTGATAGCACTTGTCGTTTTCTCTGCAAATATTCTTTTCCACGCCACTGAATGCAGGAAGCGCTCTGCACTTAGCAAGCATTCCTCGATATCGATGTCCTCCTATACACTGCTCACTCCGCTTTTCACAGAACTGCGTAGGTTGGTAGGTAGGTAGGTAGGTAGGTACATAATGTGAGTAAGTGAGTGGTATTTGAAACTATACAAGGAAGAGTCGAAGCGCAGTTTTATCATTAATGTATTGACAAGTATTGCCACTATCCATTCCATGTCAATGGGGTGTATGGTATGACATGACATGAGCTGGTAGCCAATTCATAACTTGACATGCAAGGTCTCAATCTCAGTCCCAGTCTCAGTTCTCGCGCTCTTGATACCTATGAAGGTATGAGAGACCCTTTTCTTCCTTTGTGATCGATCAGCCCATTAAGAAGGATCTATCCTTCCAGAACCCCAGCATCCAGCATCCAGCAGTCATCAGCCAGCATTCATGACCTGTCTGTCTCTCTGTGTCCGTGTGTCCTTCTGTCGTTCATTCGATATTGCACCGTCTATTATCAGCACCCAATCAGTCATTACCCTGTTGAATGATTCCGGCTCAATCCAGACCAGTCTAGTCCAGCCCGACAATCACGCGGCTGCGCCCGAGCAAAGTAAACAATCGCCATCATGATATCCTGGCATGCCATGCTACACCAAGAACAATCCATCCTAATCAACCTCCAATTGAGTTCAATCCTTTTTTTCGTTTTCCTGCACTTATGCACATGCGCAGGATAGGATCGTAAAAAAAAAAAAAAAAAAGGAAAAAAAAAAAAAAAAAAAAAACAATGGCGAGATGATCCGCATCCCTCTTCTCTCCTCTCTCTGGAGTTTTGGAATCGTGCTAACGGAAAACACACGCACGAAGCATTGTCTGTGGGAGTTTCCCTTCTTTGTGTTCTCTCTCTGTGTTTCTCCGCATTTTCCGCTCTTTTTTTCTGTCCCTCTCACAAGGATTGGACTCGTTCTTCGCCGGAGGTGGAGGGAGTGTCATCTTTGACAGTTTTCCTTGAGACAACCTGCGGTACTTCATCTTTGGAGATTGCTCTCCTCGCGGGTGTTTGCTGTGATCTTTGTGTGAGAGTGGAAGGTGAAATGAAATTGCGAGGAAAGAAAGCTATGCCTCATTTGCCACTCTTCTTTCGCGCGTGTAGTGCAGAGCACTCTGGTCCTGTGAGAAACTGTCTCAATCGGCCAGTGGAGCGCTCTGTGTAGCTGGCTGATCTGAATCGACGATTCAAGCCGTCAAATAGTCCGTTCGGACTTTATGAAAGGAAGTTCTGCTGCTTTTCCCTTCTCATTCTCATCTCGGTTCGGATTCGTGTGAACTCTTCGGAAAGGGACACCGCGATCAGGGCTGTTCAATCACCGTGCACGCCGATCCACTCGCTGCATGGGCAGAGGACGTCGCCGTAGATGGTGCACAGTTTGCTGCACCAGCAGAAGTCCCAGCAGACGCAGATGCGCGCGGCAATGTAGTCTTCCAAGCTCATGAATCCCTGGTAGTAGCGGTACTGGCCCACGGAGACGCCCTCGAGTCGCGCGGCGGCACACTCACGGTGGATTTCCCGACGGAGGGTCTCTTCGACGTCGGAGCGGATGTCGCCCAGGGATGCGGCGTGCGCGGCACAGCGTTCGGCGTGGGTGAGGGCGGCAGAGCGCACGGGGAGAGCGTCCAGGTCGGCCTTGGTGTAGTTCTTGGACGGGTAGGTCGGGTCCTCGACAAAGTTTGTGTGCGTGAACTCGTTGTTCGGGTGGAGCGGGTCACCCATGGTGAAGGGGGTTGGCGCACCCAGGGTCGCGCTGTTGGCGGCGCGCACGTGGAGGTAGTCGGCTTCGTACGATTGAAACTGGCCTGGGTAGCCGCTCAAGCCGCCGGAGGTGAGGCGTTTGCGCTTGAGAGCCAGGGCAGCGTCGGAGTCGTCATCTTCGCAGGTGATGTCGGTGAACTCGGTGCTGGAGCTGTTGTGGCTGCGGTTGTCGCAGGAGGCGGCAGATGAGCTGTCGTCGGAGATGGAGCCAGACATTGAGGCGACGCGGCTGCTGTTGACATCTTGATCAACAAGTTTCTCAGCCACGCGAATCTTCTTGGTGAAGAGGAGATGGATATTGTCGTCTGTATTCACCAGTTAGAAATTTTGGAGGAGACTCAGGGGTTAAGCACCAAAAAGGTGTTCGCAATAGAATACTAACCATCAGATGTCCGCTCATGCTCATTGCCCGTGGATCTGGTCACGAATGAGTCGCGAGCATTCCTCTTCTTGACTGGAGAGGGTTTGTTAGTACTTTGGAAAGGAGAAACATAGTATTTCATAAAACTCACCTTTCTTCCGGATCGTCAACGGACGCGGAGCTTGGACGGGTTGGACAGGTTGGTTAGTCGGCAAGGTGATGATACCGTCGGCAGTGTAGTATGAATCAGGAAAGGAGGGATCTCGAAGCAAGCCTTTGACCTTGTTCTTCCGAGATTTGGGCTGGAGAATGGGCTTGTCGTTGCTGGACTGGTTGTCTTCGTTTGAGGAAGTTTGCTTGCCGAGTAATTGGACCGACAAGTCTTCAGGCTCGGGAACTTTGGAGTTGGCGGCCAGAGTAGTCCTCTGAGCTTTGTCTGGTGCCCACAGCTGAGGCCAGTCTTCCAGACCTTCTTTTCGATCGGCAAAGCCATCCTCATCGACCACCGGAATGTGATCTGGAGAGGGCCCCTCTCTCGCCTCGACACCGCCAAAGAACGACTCAGTAGCCTTTTCCTTCTCCAACTCTTCCTCCACGTCAATGTAAAGACGCCCTTCGAGGCCTGTGCCAATAGCTGCAAAGTGGTTGTCAATGACATCTAGTCAAGTTTGGTTAGTGAAGGCACAGAGCAGAGAAGTTCAATATGATGCCATACCTTTGGTGGTCACGTCCACACCAGCTCGGGCGAAGGCAAACTGGGCTAGTTCGGGTGTGTCGAGGATGAAACCTGAATTGGGGGAATTGGACGTCCCATTCTGAACCTCATTGGCCTCCAGTTCATGGGCAACTGGAGGAATAATTGTTAGAAATCCCAATGTGAGTGGACAGTATGAGCTTACCTTGTGCATTGTTGTCGTGTGCTTCGAATGTTCGTGTCATTGACTCGTCAGACATCCTCACTTTCAGACCAGCATCCGCGAACATGTACTCGAAATATGGAGGTTGAGGGAGAGGAGGGAGGGGTTTGTTGAGAAAATATTCATCCTCGCTTCTTGCTTGGGATTCCGACCTGCCAGTGGAGGCGAGAGAAGAACGACCACTTCTGCCAAAACTGCGGGAATTGAAGCTGAGTTTCTTGTACCAGGATTTGTTGCGGCGTTCAGGAGAAGTGACTTCGGAGTTCAATGGAGGCTCCATGTCTTCGACTCTTCTCTTCTCAGGATCAGGGAGTCCAATGTAAGGTGCACTGAAGACAGGCATCTTGCGTTGCCAAACCACTGACTGGGCCGATCTCACTTGAGAGAAATTGAGTTGATGGGAGAGAGTCTTGATTGCACGACTGGATTGTTGAGATCACAATGGTACATGAATAGAGAGACAGATACAACGACACATTGGACTTTGCAAGGGAGATGGAGGATTGTAGAAAGGTGAGAGAAAGAGAACGCAATGACATTGAAGAGATTCCAACTTCATCAGTGTGAATATTCACCTCATTGACCCAAGGGGGAACCATCTCTTCCCAGCCGCTTGATATTTCTTCACTGTCAACTTCTTCTGAGCCAATGGGTGGACAGCTATTGAAGAAATTTTTCAATTGTGTCGGTGAATGAATCGAGGTGCGGCGCAAAATGAACAATTGGAGTGTAAGTCGAGCCTTGGGGTGTGGCAGATGGCTTCAGGGAGGCATTCCATCTTGGCTGTCATTTTCACAGCAGCGTGTCGATTACAGCCATCTCAACCGGATGCCACTATAGTGACGGTGTCGTTCAGTCGTCCTCACCGACTCTGGACTTACCGTCTCTGTACTTGACGGACATAACAATGTAAGCCACAGGCATCCGCTTCTCGCCCAAGTCTTCTGCTTTCTCGATCGCATTTGAAGTTGTCCATAATGCTGCCAGAGTCCAGTATTCAAACTGTAGGGCCATTACTACTTCCTTTAGAGATTGGGTGCAAAATCTTCTGTCCTCTTCTCTTTTCAGTCTTCTTCCTGAAGCAACAGCAGGCCCGTGGAAGAGGGAGAGGTCTAGACAAAGTTGTGGAGCTAAGGAGGTTCGGATGGCATACGTTCCGATCAGAGTTTGCATGGGAGCTTCAGCTTTCAGCATACTGTAGGATGGGATTTCTGGCATACTGTGTTTCATGATACTCAAGGGAAGGAAGTCAGGGGGAATGATGGATCTGAGGCGCGCACAAGCTGTCGATCTGGGACGGCGGAGAGGCGAGATGGTGCCGCGCGCGGCAAAAGCCAAGCCACCTCCATCCGATGCGGATTCGTCAACAGCAGGGCTCAGCCAGGGGGCAGATGCTGTATCTCATTCTCTCTGTAAAACTCTTTCTCCTTCATCATATCGGGCCGTTTGTTGCGGAATAGTGTCTATCCGTGTTTCCTGCACCAATTCAGCCCGAGTTCTACCCAAGCGTGGACTACTGGAGCGAGTCAGACGCGTTTCGAGACTGCGCCCTTCAACCGCAATTGACGATACGGTGTCTCTCGGCGTCCGCTTCGAGTTCTCCATAAGACAGATCGTTCTCCCCCGGACTCTTCTCCTTACTTGACATATTCGAAGAAGTTACAGGCACAGAGTCCATATAATTTGACAAACCTCCACCGTTCCGCGGCGTATCCTTTCCCTTACCCATCTCGCTCGCCTTGCCTGGAGATGTCAGCTGAGCGGTAGCGCTTTTCTCGGAGTTTCTACTACAATATGGCTGGGCTTTGGGCAGCATGCACTTTGCTGGCTGTGATCTCTTCAGCATGGGCGGATAAAACCGCGGCTGATTACTTTGTCCATTCGCTACCAGGACAGCCAGATGGCCCTCTCCTGAAGATGCACGCCGGGTATGCAATCACTTCCCCTTCCAAAGAGCGGTTATTGACGTATGCAGGCATATTGAGGTTACTCCTGAACATAACGGACACATGTTTTTCTGGCACTATCAGAATCGACACATCGCCGACCGACCACGAACCGTCATTTGGCTCAATGGTGGACCGGGATGCAGCTCAATGGATGGGGCGTTGATGGAGTTGGGCCCTTACCGAGTAAGAGAGGGAGGAAAACTGGCTTACAACGAAGGTTCATGGGACGAGTTCGCCAATCTATTATTTGTGGACAACCCGGTCGGTACTGGCTTCAGCTACGTAAATACGGACAGCTATGTCCACGAACTGCTGGAGATGGCCAACCAATTTGTTACTTTCATGGAAAAGTGGCTCGAGCTATTTCCACAGTATGAAAACGACGATCTCTACATCGCAGGCGAATCCTACGCTGGACAATACATCCCTTACATCACAAGGGCTATTTTGGATCGCAATGCCAGATTGAAGAATCAGGGGAAGCGAGTATGGAACCTCAAAGGCCTCTTGATCGGGAATGGTTGGATTGCTCCAGCAGAACAATACCAGGCCTACCTCCGGTTTGCCTACCAGTCTAATCTAATCCAAGGTGGTACTCCCGAGGCGGATAAAGTTGAGGCGGCGCAAGTAACCTGCATCAACGAACTTGCTAAACCCGGCGGGACGGAAACGGTGGATGTCAGTGCATGCGAGGCTGTTCTTTCTACGATTCTCGACGTGTCCAAGGTGGACGGCATGTGTTACAACATGTACGACATCACTCTCAAGGACAAGTGGCCTTCATGCGGAATGGCCTGGCCTCCCGATTTGGAGACCGTGACGCCTTATCTGCGCCAGGACGATGTTCTTGCGGCTCTGCACGTGAATCCCGACAAACGGACTGGGTGGGTTGAATGTTCGGGGGCTGTTTCATCTTCGTTCCGGGCTAGGAACTCGAAACCGAGTGTTCAACTACTCCCAGGCATTCTTGAGGAGGGCATCCCAGTGCTATTGTTCAGTGGCGCGAACGACCTGATCTGCAATCATCTCGGAACAGAGGATTTCGTCAACAACATGCAGTGGCTAGGAGGCAAAGGATTTGAGCTCGCTCCTGGGGTAATAGCTCCAAAACGCGATTGGGAATTCGAAGGTGAACCAGCTGGGGTGTATCAAGAAGCAAGAAACCTCACCTATGTCAAATTCTACAATTCGAGTCATATGGTGCCCTTCGACTACCCTCGACGGACCCGTGATATGCTTGATCGATTTATTGGGGTGAATGTCACAGGGATTGGTGGTCAGCCGACCGACAGCTTTATTGATGGTGATAAAGTGGGCACTGAAACAGAGGTTGAAAAGCCAGTCAACAGCACCATACCCGTCACCGCCGAAGAACAGAGCCAGAAACTCAAAGACGCCGAACTCAAAGCCTACTATCGCAGCGGCGAGGCAGCTCTGGTGTTTGTGCTCATTGCCGCAGGCTTGTTTGGCTGGTGGGTGTGGCGAGGAAGGAGAAAGGCCCGAAGTCAAGGGTATATCAGCGTTCCGCTTGCCAACAGCTCGATGCGAAAAGGCCGCGGAGACGTGGAAGCGGGGGATTTTGATGAGAGTGAGTTGGACGACCTGGAGTCGAGCCGGCGACATGGTAATATGCAATCCCAACGCTATGATCTGGCAAGCGATAGTGAGGACGAAGATACCGTGGTTCAGCATGGTGATGGTAAGGGAGAGCGATCCAGCCCTCGGTGAGACCAAAAAAGGAAATAAAATAGTGGTATTCTTTTTAATGATAGATTTATGTGACTCCTGCAGAACTTCGTCCTTTGAGTGGTAGCGATGTGAATCTCGTCAAAAGAGCCTCTGGCATCTTGATGCTGATGGTGCCTGGCGATCGCGAGATGGAGGGAGATCGAGGTATGTGTCTATCCCGATATGGTATAGCGTCAGTTCAACCCGAGTTACACAGCTTCTGGTCACTTCCCTTCCGACTCTTCACTTTCAGTCTTTTCACTTTTCTCACAATTTCCTCACTTCCACTCTACTCAGTCCTGCGCTACTCAGTTTTGTTTTGCGCCATGTCTGCTACTGTCTTGTATCAAGAAGGTGTCACAAACTTCATGAACCAGGGAGAAAGAAATTCATTCACTTGGTCCTCTCCTCCTTGCATCAGTGAGCGATGGGGTGTCTATCCGGCTTGTCGGCCTGTCAACTCTGTCAGTTGCCAACCACAAACCAGCTCGCTGTTCTAAACACCAGATGTACACACGCACACCCATCTTCCCTCTACGTCCTCCAATTGGGCACCGTACCTCTTCGCCCCGATGCTGATGTTGGTCCTGGCTCTGATGCCAATGCATACCCCTCGCCTGCACCGATCCCTTGCATCGGGCATCTCTGGCCAAGCCTGTCATCGATATGCAATATGTCGCATTCATTCGTCCCCGGGTCACTCTGATACGTTCAGCTTGGGAGCCTAGACACTTTGGCCGCGATTCGCCTGACCTGTTCGTGCTGTATTTGAATCTTGATCGCGACCATGATCCTCTCGGCCTCAACTACACTAGACATGTTGAAGGCTGTTACCAATGGACTTAGCGGATGCGCCTTCTTGAGGTTAGAGTCATGGCTGCTTGCGCTGTAGGGAAAAGACGGAAAGAAAGCTTTGTGACTATCGTCGCTTCCATATGCTGGATATATGCGGCCTCATTCCCTCAAGACACCGTCTTCACTTTTCGTTACTCCTCCTTCAGTGCTTCTGACGCCTGCTCAGGCTTCAGATCCGTATCATTTGCACCTTGAACCTACCTCTCCCACTCTCTGCCTCCCTCATTTCTAGCACATCTGCTTCCCTGCCCGCCACTCTTCACTTTTCTGCTCACTCCTACTTCAGATTGTCCAACGTGGCTTGCAGCTTCTGTCTTTCCTCCACTCCTTAGATCAGTTCCTCAAGCCTCAAAGTCTCTAGATTGCCTAGACACCATCGCCTTCCTCGACGAATGGACCGCAATGGTCGGTTCACGTTACATCAGGTTGCTGCCAGAACCAGCTCTGATTCCTCCCAAACCACCGTCTCATATGATGCCGCTCACATTGTTCTGTCCTTTTTCACCTCGCTCATAGGATGCATCACCACGTTGGAACTGCTGCAAAGGCGCACATCGACGAGAGGAGCGTACAATTGGTAAGTTCACCTTTCTCTCACCAAGATGTCTTTTACTGACCGAGCTCGAGGTTTCTACTCGTGGCATCCGCAATTACCATGGGTGGCATCGGTATCTGGGGCATGCACTTTGTCGGCAATAGAGCTATCGTGTTACAAAATGGAGACCGCCGCCGTCAGATTCTCTACAACCCCGGCTTCACGGCCATCTCGTTCTTTATGCCAATCATCGTCCTTCTCTTCGCTTTCTACACTCTTGGAATGCCGGCTCGAGCCCGCCAACTTCATGTTGCCATCGCCGCCTGTCTCACAGGAGCCGCGGCTTGCGCCATGCACTATCTTGGTCAATACGGTGTGGAGAACTATGTTTGCTCATATAGGGTGCAGAATGTTGCCGGAGCCGCCATCATCGCCGTACTGGCCAGTTACACCGCTCTTGGGATATTTTTTCGGCTGCGAGACGCATGGAAAGACGGTTGGTGGAAGCGTGCCCTGTGTGGTGTCATTCTCGCCACTGCTGTCTCCGGAATGCATTGGACAGCGGCGGTTGGTACAGATTACCACTGGAAAGGCGATGTGGACATCCATGGAAACTCCAGGTCACAAACTGCAGTCATTGCAGCTTCCCTCGTTAGTTTCCTATCTCGGCTTGCAGAACCCGCAACTAATACTCTTTGCTAGTCAATGGGCTCTTGTGTCATCCTTCTTGTCGTGGCCTTCATTCGGGGTCGCAACAAACTCACTGCCAGGATCAAAGCACAGCGGCTGGTGTTGGCTTGCGCTTACTTTGACACCGAAGGCAAAATGATGGTCACCCAGGAAGGAACCTTGCCCAGTGAAAAAATAACAAACCACTATATCGAGAAGGTAAGCAACCTCCTATCTCAAGCCTTACTCGCATTGACCCGGCGTTGTAGACTTTTGGTGAAGATGAACTTAGCAGATCTCATCCAACCTACCTCTGGATATTCAAAGCCTCGCATCATTGGATAACCCTACATGGCCTCATTCCCAGCATGAGAGAGCATATCGAAAATGACCCAATAGCAAGGAAATACCGGCCCAGCAACACCTCCAAAAACTTGCCAGATGACGCGATGGCAGGTTCCATCAACTTCGCCCCGATTTTCAAGCAATTGTTCTGCGTCACTGCCCAGCAGCTGGCCAATCTCGTCCATCAACCGCTGGAGAGGCTCGGGGTCTTATTCGAAGAACCCTTGGAGACGGGAACAACCTCTCTGCACACGCAATTGAGTATCAATATCATGCCGCTATCGGCCAGATCTTACAAAAAGACGGCAGATACTGAGCAAGGGTTTCCGCCGCCACTCAAGGTTGCCCGAGGAAAGTACTTTTTCCTTCAACGACAAGTAAACAAAAGCGAGGCAGCCAGGTTTGCCGCACTGGGATACCGATTTGCCACCATTGCGCAAATCGCGGAACCACTGGCTAAGAGCATGCAAGTCGATTGTGGTGAGATGGTGGCTAAGATTGAGCGGATGAGGCGGAGTACATCAGCCGAGCACCTTCCACCCCCCAGAGTGCATCTCGCTTGTTTTATGCTCCGTCCAAGCATGTACAAAAGCTTCGACGTTCTTGTTCCCACCACCTCGCAAGACCAGTTGCCGTACGTGCCGATACAATGCGGTGATCTATCTGGAGACCAGCTGGCTCAACTACAGCGTTTCGACGATTCCACCGTCGGCGAGATTTTGAGGATCCTTCTCAACCAGACTGGTGTGTCACAAATGGGGGAGGGGACGCGCTGGCAGCTTTACAACACCTTCGTTAAGCTCGTCGATGTTATGGGTGATTATGACACTATGATGCAAGCAAAATTCTCTGCCAAAGCGTTCCGGGTGCCATGTCGAGCGTCCGACGGCACAAGTCCTTCAGCGACGTGTACCTTCCTGACAGTTCGGGTGATGAGAACTATACACGCATCTTCGAACAAGAAGGAATTGACATATGTCCCTTTATCTTTCTTCAGTGCTCAGCAACAATGTCTTGCGACAGACTGCAAGGATGAATTATTTGAGAGAAAGGTCAAAGCAGAGTTCCAGCATGCTGCCCGCTCAAACTTCATCAAGTGTCCCTCATCCATCAGCCTCCAGCGCGGAAGAACGAGCCCAGGTGGATCGACCCTGCAAGGACAAGAGTCCCCAAGGCTGGGGTTGCTCAAAAACGCATTGGCTCGGTTGTCAATTGTTCCTAGCCGCCGGAGTGATGAATCTAAGACTAGCGACGCCAACAAGAGCATGGAGGAAGGAACTGATGTTGAGATGGTGGGAATTGCAGTGCTGAGCAGCACCCGCCTCGGCCATGACACGGTAACAACACACGCGGATGTTATCGAACTGAACCAAGTAGGATCCGGGCAGAGTAGCTGGGTCGGCGAAGTGTTTGGTCTGTTCCGTCTGGGAGTGGAAGGGTGGCCCAATACGAAAGTGGGAGGATGCAAACGAGGCGGAAATGACACGCACCCACAAGATTCTGGAAGAAAGGATTGCCAATGGAGCATGACCGATACCGAGACACTGGTTCCATCCAGGTGACAACTCGAAAGCACATGAGCTGAAATGGGCGCGCGGGCAGCGCGACGAACGGAAATGCGAGGATAATGTGCTCTGATGTGTGTACATCGATACCAAAATCAATGGAAATATCGCTTTATTTTGCGAAATGCCTTTCTACGAGCCAAGAGGCTACGGCAATGTGATACGCGAAACGATTGCTATGCACTCAACACTTTGGTAATGTTGGTGCTGTAGCCTGTGTGGATAGGATGCTCACAAGGCTGAGAGGAACTTGGATCAGCTGGGGTACATAAGGAGCAATTTTATTGGCGGAGCGTCGGAAGAAATTCTGCCATCTGTCGCCGCCTTGAGCAGCAGCCTGCCCTCTTCCTCGTCACTGCATGCGACGGACATTCTGTCTCCATCTTGTGAGCGATCTAAATACCTGAAACACTATTGTGCGTACGCAAGGCTCTTTCGATATCCGGATGATGGCACGGTCCTGAGGCGCACGGAGCAGGAGGGGTAATACTTTTCGAATCGGTAGACAGAACAACCTCATCCTCAGTTACGGCCTGCAGCGCCACTACGGGAAACACCCCTCGATCCGCCCGCCATCTTAGCCACCTACACGTCTACCAATCTGCATTCACGAGTTCTGAAGATCAAGCTCTCGTTGCCTCCATTGACCCGTCTCTTCCTTTTTTTTTCTCCCCGCACCCCTACATCCAATATGCCCTTTGCGCAACTCGTGATCGGGCCCCCCGGCGCCGGCAAGTCGACCTACTGCAACGGCATGCAACAGTTCATGGGCGCCATCGGGCGCAAGTGCTCGGTGGTGAACCTCGACCCGGCCAACGACCCGGTGTCGTCGTACGAACCGGCCCTCGACATCCGCGACCTCATCTCGCTCGAGACCATCATGCGCGACGACGACATTGCCCTCGGCCCCAACGGCGGCGTGCTCTACGCGCTCGAGGAGCTCGAGGAGAACTTTGACGGCTGGCTCGTCGACGGCCTCAAGGGCCTGGGCGACGACTACGTCCTCTTCGACTGTCCCGGGCAGGTCGAGCTGTTTACCCACCACGGCAGTCTGAGGAGGATCTTTGCCAGGTTGGAGAAGATTGGGTATCGTGTATGTTTTATTCTTTTCTTTGGGGGGATTTTGGGTTTGGCCTTTTTTGAATCTATCTGTCTGTCTGTCTTTTCTCCCTATTCCCCTTCTACGTGTTCGAAACCACCTGTTTGATGATGATTCCGCTTCTGCTAACGATCCACAAGAGTGATGAAACGTGGGCTGACAAATATTATTCAATGTTGGTTTTCAACAGTTGGTTGTGGTCAACCTGATTGACTCGTATGCCCTCACGTTACCCTCGCTGTACATTTCCACCCTTCTTCTGTCGCTACGGAGTATGCTCCAGCTCGATTTTACGCACATCAACGTCCTCACCAAGATCGACAATCTCAGCAAATACCCCCCACTACCGTTCAACCTGGACTTTTACACTGAAGTCCAAGACCTGTCGTACCTGCTCCCATACCTCGAGGAAGAGTCGCCCATGTTCAAACAAGGCGGCAAGTTCCAAGCGCTGAATGAGGCCATTGTTCAGCTCGTCGAGGAGTACGGGTTGGTCGGCTTCGAGACGCTGGCCGTCGAGGATAAAAAGAGCATGATGAGCTTATTGCACACCATCGACAGAGCGGGTGGCTATGCGTTTGGAGGTGCCGAGGGCGCAAATGACTCTGTTTGGCAGGTCGCTGTCAGGGAGGGACTTGGCAAGTTGGATGTGAGGGATGTCCAAGAACGGTGGATCGATCAAAGGGAGGAATATGACGAGTTGGAGAGGAAGGAGTGGGAGGAGGAGCAGAAGCGGAGGGAAGAGGAGTGGGCCAAGAGCGGAGAGGCGATGATGGGAATGGCTAATGATGGAGATGACGAAGATATGGACTTACCGCCGCTCAAGGATGGTGGTGTGAAAGTCGTCAGGAGCGAGAAGAAGTCTTCATGACATCGCTGTCGTGTGGATTGCTAAGAGGGAGGATCGTTCCGATACCACTCTCCGCTCCAATATAGCCGATCGGCTACCGCCATCGCGGTCAGAGCCATGATGAAACCAGGACACACCGTAGGTGTCGTGGAAACGTGCCGCCGGGTTGGGTTTCTGACTCGCTGAAGTTTTCCACGCTCTCTGCGGATGTCGTCTGCTTACGGTGGTGAGCGTTGTGCTGTTAGATACCCAAGCTCTCTTTCATCGAGGAATTTCTGTTGTTCAGCCAGAATCATCCTCAAAGTCCTCATCCTCTTCAAAGTCTACAATGCTTTCGTCTCCGCCAACCGATCCGGCGGCATCAGCCTTGTCCTTTCCCTTCAGCAGGCTCTTCCCGTCCACTCCAGCAAAGATTCCCTCCAGAATCGTATCATCGCCTTCTTCACCTAGACTTCGACCCTGCAGCTTCGCCCGGACAACGTCCCTCCTCGCTCTCCGGAGGAGCTCCTCCTCACTCTTTCTGATTGTTCCACTCACCCTGACCACGCGAATCACACAAGCCAACTCTGGATGTGTCATCGTGTCGGATAACGCACCACCACCACCTCTTCTCCCTCCTGTGGCGCCAGATCGAGCGTGGGGGGCAGGCATGCTCGTCACGAAGGTCATGCTCGCCCAAACCAGGCGGAAATGGGCGCGGGGCACGCGCAGGATCCCCGTCGAGGTCGCAGGCGAGAAGTACACGAGTCGTAGCGCCGACTGCGTCACCGACACGCCGTGGTCGCCGAACAGTGTCTGGATCTGCCCGCGCAGGTGCGTCACCAGGAGAGCGGGGGTGAGGTAGCCCGGCGAAGGGCGGTGGAAGAGGACGTACGCCGGTGTTGGTGATTCTTTTGGCGTCGAGCCTGGTGCTCGCGGTGCTGCGGGTGCACTTGTGGAAGAAGAGGAGGACGAGGACGTGGGAGGAGAAGGATAGAGGATGTTGAAGAGCAGGTAGCGGTGTTTGATCCGGACCATTTTTGGCGTTGGCCTTCTCTTGCACGCGCGGAGGTCTGGGACTTGAACGATTCGCTTATGTCATTGTCATGGAGGCTTGTGATGGGAAAGGCGAGCCTGCTTTGCAGAGGGGCATGAAGTTCTTCCAAGAAATTTCGGAGGGCTAATTCACATCATTCTTGTGAGCCTGCGGTTGTTCCTTCGAGTTGATTGCTATTACGGCATCATCTTCTGCTGAGACAAAAAGGAACTTTTGCCAATTTTTTGGATTGTGGAGAAGGGAGCTCCCAAGCATTGGGCGAGGCTGAGATCGAGCTTCGAATCGGAGATTTAATCTCGCTTGGTGGCTCACCTTTGGGCTCAAACCCCGCCGTGCCGCTTTTTTGATCGGGGATTTTATTCTGTCCTTACTGGTAGGCATAATGGCATCCCCTATCCTTATCCCATGATATTTAGCTATAGCTATATTTGATCTGGCGGCCACTTCATCGCTATTGAGTGACTACCTAAATTGAGAGAGGGTGTCAGGTGTCTACTCAATGTCAGACTATGCCCTTTTTTTTTTGCTCCCAGAGACTCGCTTGGAGCTGGGGATGAGTATAGGGCGGCATCACCATTGGCCTAATCGGGGGTGAGCGATCCCCCTGAACAGACGAGCTTGCAGGACTTGATACATCGTCCATATTACATGCATATCACGTACATTCAGCGAGAGGACAAGGTGCTTACGGTTGGTTCACAAGCATCGCCTGACTCTGAGGTCCCCCGGGGAAAAATAAAGATTATTACGGTAAACCCTCCCTTTTCGCCGGGGAAGCTGAGTTTGCCTCGCCTGTCGAAACCTTCAGGCACATGAAACTGGCCCGACTTTCGATTTTGGGGGGGAAGATGCTCAGGAGTTCCGAGTCCCTTTTCTGGTCTTTCTCTGAAACCACTCCGAACAGGCATATTCCGTGGAGAAGAAGGTTCCCTCATGGGGACTTCGTATGCAAGCACTATGGTCAGCTTCCCACTTCGGTACTTCCATATCACGTCTTCTCAAACGTCGGGGTTGAAGATCTGTGCATGTGGAATCGACCGGCAGATGTGTACCTCGTACAATGAATGGCATGTGGAGTCCTCCCCGTCCCCCTTGTCATCCAAGGCTTGGGTCATACCACGGTTAAATTGGCCATGAGCACCAGGGAACCGGCGGACAAGAGTGAGGCGCACGCCATCATGTTCTCCGTAATAATCAGAAGAGAGCAGAGATAGTCGTAGCCAAAGGAACAGAATCCGGCATGTTGGTTCGTCAAGACTCATAAGGCCAGGACCAGGTCTTGTCTCTCTCTGAATCTGACTTTATCTTTTCCCCCCTCTTCCCAAGCCATCCAGGAGGAGCCCAGGTACAAGTAGAAAGTATCTCGTACTGCTGAGTTTGCCAGAAGAGCTGTCCGAGTGGTTCATGCAGGAGCAGGTCGTCGTTTCAAGTCACCCCCTCGGCGGCTCTGGAAACCATTTGGCGGCTCTGAGTGGACGTGGACTGCCCAGTTTCATGCTTGTGCAGCCCCTGAGAATTGAGAACGGGCACAACGGGGCCAGATAACGCTCAACACGGAAGCAAAGGATTTTTAACTTGTGATTGGGGGGCATACTAGACTGTGTGAGGTCTAGGGGTGATGGTGGCGTTGAAGTGGCCACTGAGAGAATGAAGCGGTTGAGCGCCATTGCTTCATCTGGGCGGTACCAGGCGGGGACAAATCAAGATTTTGAGTGGATGACTAGGCACACTGGGGTAGCGTTGAGTGCCTAGGGGTACCAAGAACCTTCCACAAGGACCCTAGAGAGCCCTAGCAAGGCACACAGGGGAGCCATTGGGAGCCTAGGCGATGGCTCTACCATGTTGTGGATGGACCCCGGTCGCCCTGGTCACGTTCTGTTTGGGTTGAACGCCCACGACGCCGCAACTGCACGCGCTGTGTGCTGCTCCATCTTGCTGCATCCTGCACCCTGCATCTCTTCTCTCCCTGCAGCTTCTGCCTTTTTTACTTCGCCCTTGCAGTTCTGTCCCCC